TAAAACCGTTACCAGGGAAACCATTACCAAGGTCACGCAGTCGTCACTCCTCCTGTCTCCATGGTGACTGTGTATACGTAGTCGGGGGGAAGGATGGGAGAGTTTCTCTGAAGGACATATGGAGGTTCTGTATAGGTCAGTATTGCATAATACTTGTATACATGTATATATAGTGGGAATTAAATGATGGAAACCATGTTCTGAAAGAATCATAAATAAGTCAATGATCCTATGACAGAAGACAGAGGTCTCAATTTTGATTTCTGGTCAGTACAATGGTCTGTGCATTTTACATGTATTATTTGTAGTCCTGTTACTACTAAACAAATGTCACTATACTTTATACATGTTATAAACCTCTAATCTGTAAATATTTGGGAACATGTTTGAATGGTTAGAATCTCAAAAACAAATACCGGTACTAGATTTAATTGACTGAGATATAATATCCAGGTAAAAGATATCGAGAGTATATCATGTAAATTCAGGGCTGAGGCTTTTCTAAAATTTATCTCACCTTTAGCATGTGGAGGGCTTCTAAAATATTAAAAGATCATTATTATATATATTTACTGAGTAATTGAAATTACAACAGTGTACAATCTAGACCAATATTGAATTCTCTGAATGAAATAAGTATTTGTTTATCCCATTGTACCAGCTTATCACTTTTTGAATGTTATGGGTATACATGTATTTGCTGGACATCCTAGGGAAATTAAGTCAATATTGGCCCTGCTGCACTGAATGCCTTTGACCTTGGCTTGTATGGAGTAAAACCCAGTGTAAATCAACATACACATCTAACTATGGATAAATTATACATGTACCACATTTGAAATTTATGTCATTACAGAAACTTCACAATGGGAGAGGTTGACACTTAAGGGGGAAAGTCTGCCTCATTTAGAGGGACACAGCCTCATCTCGTACAAGGTAAGCCAGTTTGTTTTGCTTGTGTCTTTAACTGTCTTTATTAGGGGGACAGAGCCTGGTCTCTTACTAGTTAAGCTAGTTTGTGTCTATTACTGTTTTTCTGGAGGGACACAATCTGTGCCCTCATATATGATAAGCCAGAACAGCTTCACCCTTAATTATGAAAATTATGCATTGCTTTTAATTGTCATTAATGGCCTGACATACTTTGGGTACAAGACAATGATTCCTTACTGTGTATTGCAAACCAACTTTTATTTGCATGCTAGAAATTTTCGCGAGGTTCCTGAGAGCCTCATCATTGCTGCATTTATCACAGTGAACCAGTCCTTAAAGTCTCGGTGTCTATTTACAACAGATCCAAAAAGGCTTGATCAGGAAAGTTTTTCCTTGAGAACTAGTCTATCCCTGGTAAATCGTGAAATAAAGTTGTTGTGAATAAAAGTTGGTTTACAGTAATACATACAATGTAACATGGTAAGGTCCTTATGAATTCAGTATTCTTTATTCTATTACTTTAGAAAAACCTCCTGCTGTTTGGAGGGTCGTTTGGGGATGATGTCACAGATTCAGCACTATGGATAATTAACCCTGGTATGTATAGTAAATGATTTAATTGCTCTGCTCTTGTCAGTATGATGATTTAGATATAATGATTTAGAAAAATTCATCAACTCTCAGATAAATGTAATTCACACTCTTCACAAAGTACACTTTTAAATTCCTGATATTCTCTGTGACAGATGTCCTACATGTACGACAGGTGTCGTGTGAGCCCGGATTTCCTCAGCCCTGCACCAGACGCCACCACTCCGCTGTCGTCCATGATGGTGTTATGTATGTGTACGGAGGATATGTGGATCTCAGAGGAAGCAGCTCGGAATTCTGGGCATTCCATATTTGTAAGACATTTTGATTCCTTTTGGAACATGGTCTTGGCTATAGTGGGGATTGCATGTTGCAATTTTAAAGATTGTAGCTTAGTTTTGATACTGTATGCGTAATTAAAAAAGCATGCTTTTATAAATTATATTTTAAGCGGTTTTGGCATAGACAATCATTCACTAATTTATAAATACTGTCATATTATAACATATGGATACCTTCTGTGAAAAATATATCTTTAAATTACTAGATTTATGAAAACTGAGTGCAAGAGAACTTTCAACAAAATTAATCTTTCCTTACAAAATAATTTTTTTGTCTCTTTTCATGTTGAAATTGTATGATTCTTATTCTGTCAGCTGAAGAGGAGTGGGAATTAGTAACCCCCCGACAGACCCGGTCAGACATGCCTGAGGGTCGTCATGGTCACACGGCGGTCGTCCATGGGAGGAACATGTGGATCTATGGGGGTCTAGCAGGGCTAACTCCTAAATCAGACCTCTGGTACTACAACTTCCGTGAGTGTCTACAAGTTTGAAATCTTATTACTAACTAATATGACTCTATAGTGTTAAAATTTTCAACTGTATTATTTCACAATTATAGTATTTACTAAACCTGTGACAATTCTATTCATATATTTTCAATTCAATTAATTCAGACACATCTTCTTTTGAGAACTATGGTCAAATAATTTTAGAGTAGATGTGGACTTCCTTAAGTTTATTGTTGATATATATCTTTTAGATGTCAGTAAATGGACGCGTATGAAGTGTAGGTTTGGTCCACCACCATTAGTAGGACATGCGGCAGTAGTGGTGAGTACCACCCTGTAATCATCAGTGATCAATTGAAATCATTTAACAGAGCCTGAGTACTTGTTTTTCACTGTTTTGATGTTTGTGAATAATTCATATATAATAGTTTCTCATAAAAAATAGATAAAAATAATCTTTCTTACTAAACAGAATGAAAAAGAATCAATTCAGCCCATTTCCTGTATAAAAAAAACTGTGCAATATTATTTCATATGTTGCATCTGTCTTTTAACAACTGATGGTATCTTTTTTTTTATGCAGGTCAAGGATAATATGATTTTACAAGGTGGAGAACAAAATGGAGAACTTAGAAATGACTTCTGGGTTTTTTCTTTTGGTGAGTGAATAGAAATATAATACATGTACCATAAATATGAAAAGGAACAGACATGCAATTTCAGAATCATATTTTTTTGTACAGAATGTTTGAAGTGGACACATATAGAAATCCCAAATCAAGTTCCCTCAGCAAGAATGTGGCACTCAGTAGAGGCCATTACTGTAGAGTCCAAAAAGACAGACAGCTCGACTAGGACCAGCTCAATGCCATATCTCCAGAACAAACATGGAAGGCGGCAAAATCTCCGCCCTCGATCGAGTCCAGCTTACTCCTCCGCAAGAAATAGGGTCACGCCAAAACAGGACAAAGAAAATGTGACTGTGAATTCTAAATATGTTTCTGAGTCTTTACAACAACCACAATCAGAAGAATCACAGCTAACAAAAAATCAGTCAAGTGCTAATCCTTTTATCAAGGAAACATCACCAGCAGCCAAAGCGTCGATACAGAGACCTCATACTATAGAGCTACAGACCATCACTACTCACTCCGAACCAGCAAGTAAAATAAAGACAGGGGAGCTACAGTCTGTCAAAGGTCGGACAGATTCAATCCCTGTTGTCATGAGGACCCCGACGCCGAAACAGAAGGAAGAAAAATCCCCTCTACTGTTGGAGAGACATATATCCCAGTGTAGTGAGGGCAGTCAGAGCAGCTTAAAGGGAGCAGACAACCTAGGAATGGACATCTCTACCAGTTCTGATGGCTTACCTTCTTTGGACTTTACTTCGTGTCAGACATTCACTCAGTCTTATGGGTATCATCAGAAGCCCCCAGAGAGGGTGAAGCCAGTCAAAATGCAAACTTTTAGTCATAACGTGATCAATGTTTTGCCCTACCCTCAATTAACACAGGACCTAGTTGTAGAGGATTTAGAAATTTATGAGAATTATTTTGCAGAACTGAATGAAACAGCTTTTGTGAAAAGGGGATGTCAAAGAAGTCATTTCGGTGGTTATAGCAAGAAGTATAAAGTAAACAAGACAGAAATAAAAAATTTACGGAAACGCTCAAGTACTTACAGTGCTAATGATACGACATCCGATTGGTATAGGTCATCCTCTGTAGGGGAATTACGCAACTTAAACGAGAAAGTGTCAGAAACCAAAACAGCCCTACGTAGTAGAAGCCTTCACAACCTAAAGAATGATAGTCCTGTGTTATGTTGGCAAAGTCACGATTCAGAAAATGCTAAGGAAGAAGTGGAAGCAGACCCAGCAATGAATGAAGAAATGACTACAGAATTTTCTGAGCCTGAGAACAAAGAGCTTGTTCAGGAACACAAGGTTGTTCCTAAATTAAATGTAAAAGTGCCATTAACTAAAAGACAAGAAAGCAGGATAGAAAATCAGGTATTACACACAAATCATCATACATGTGATAAAGATACACTTTGTTAGAACATAATAATGGTTTAGATTCAGGATAAGCCTAGTCAAATTTGTTCCTTTTACCAATGCAGAGCTTTACTTCAAAAAATTGATGGATTAATAGTACCAATTAGATAATATCTTTGCTTTTTAACAGGAACTAGCTCAGCCCTATCTTCTGTTGTTTGGAGGTAAAGACATGAGAGGTGGTAGTGTCTGGTTAGAATCCCTGACTGCCTGGAGATGTGATGTGTTTGTCAGACACAGCGATATTTCTCACGGAGAATTCCACAAGTAAGTCTGTGCCAATCCTTTCAATGAAAAATGTCAAGCTAAAATATGGAAAGTTAAATGCACTTTTTTAAATAGATTAAATCAGTTGTTCAGTAGAGGTACAGTTCCACAAGAGACATCAATGCTAGTAATTTGCTTAAATTTATCATGGCCGTATACTGTAAACCAGCTTCTTTTGCTTACAAGAAATATTCGTGAGTTTTGCAACCTACTTTATTTAGCAAACAATTATCGCCTCGAACCAATGATTTTGCTTTGTATTCATATAAAATGTTCCATCCATTGCGAAAATTTATTGTTGTGGATTGATTTCAATCTGACGATTCGCGAAGAAAAGATGATGCAAATTATAGTTTGTTTACAGTAGTTATGGTTAAAAAGTAGTCTTTAATTTGAAATAACATATCATTCAGACCCTTGGGCCTTAATAATGGCTTACAAGGTGATCTGAAATATTTTTTCAACATTTCTTCTTTTTTCCAGGTCCAGTCTCATTGTTTAGCAGCTAGTATACCAATCCGAGACATTCCTATAGTAACTTAAAGCAGCTATCACATCACTAGACAAACCTCAACTTATCCCACCTATCATCTGGAGAACCACACCAGTTAACAATTAGCCTTTAATAATGTTGAAGTACTTGTTGATATTGTTTTGTATTTTTTTGTTTTATTTCTGTACTGGTCCATGCTCTTTGGTGACATATTTTTATTATTAACTCACCTGAGAAATGAAGGTTCAAGGGACCTTTTTTTTATATTAACCTGTTAAAATTCTGTCCATCCATCCATGGAACTTTTTATCATTGAAGTCTTCTTCAAAATCAATGAACAATCAATTTCATTCATGTTAGTCATATAAATATTGAAGCATCCCTTTAGTTTGAATTCAGATTTAGTTAAGTCGTGGCACTTTTTTGGCTAGTTTGGGGCAACAGTGTGAGATCAACATTTTTTATGGGAAGAAAGGGAGGGGAAAATTTTTAAAATTTTTCACATGAAGAACAACAGGACTGGGCCTAGGGTGATTAAGCTGAGAGCTGTGGCCCTTGGTCATTAATGCAACTTCTGCATGCCAAACTACTAATCAGGATAAATGTGTTAATTGAGAAAGCTTTAAAGTTTGTGTATTTATTGTACCGGGTATATCACTTATTCATCTTATAAATCACATACATGTATTATATTCACCGCATGTATTAAGTTGGCAAACAGAGAGTATAATGAGAAGTCATGTTTGATCAAACATCAGGGAACAAATAAGTTTTACTCCAAAGCATAATCTTAACAATGTACATGTACCTTACAATGGCAAACCACTGAAGTTCAAAGTTATTTGTCATACTTTAATTTGTTAATTTTTAATATCATGAATATTGAAGTTTAATATCTTAAATAAGTTTTAATAAGCCAGTATAATTCCTGATCATAACAAATACTCAAGTCTGAACTTATAGATATTCCAAATCTTTTGATATTTCTTTAAGTTTTTCACAGCCCTGCAACATTTGGTTAAAAATTTCATTACAATGTAATTGTATCAAAAAAGTGCATTATGAGCCATGAGTTATTGAGTAGATTATTTTATCTTTTTAATCTATTTATATACAAATCTGTGATATTTAGGTTGGGGCGACTACAACAAAATGTATATTACAAATAGGAAGCTATTTATTCAAGGATTGTTTCTTGCCAACAGGAGAGACATTTCTCTCTCTTGATTTTGTAAGCTGTTCAATTGAATTTTTGCATTCTAAAGATGAATTAAGTTTTTTCGAATACAATGTTAAAGTGAGTTTAAATTTAAACATTTTTTTATGTATTTTAACATCGAATCTTCAGATGTCTCAAATATATTTCTTGGTTTCATCAAAATTTGAGATACCATGACCATACTTTAGTGAAGATTTTAAAAGAATGTGTTAACTACCTTCCTTGTAAGTGCATATCTTTGTTCTTTTCAGTGTATACCTCAGTGAATCATTCTGTATTTGGTGCAGCCCTCATGATGTTTTATTTTTGCTAGACAACATATAGTGCTTTTTGTTATCCATAAATGTGAAATCCACCCATAATGCTTAAATTACTAAAATCATTATCAATCATGTTTATTTTTTACAGTTCATCAATGTTTTACAGTTCACAGGATTGCAGCTCTAAATTCCCTTGATAGAATATTTACTGTATGGCATTTTTTTTAAAGATATGTTTTCATAAATATTTTTTGTTTTGACATATAATTTATTTAATTTTTTGGAGACAATCTTTTAAAAAAGATTGAAATCAAATAACATGGGCATTTCTGTAACTAAATACAGCAAAACTAGGTTATAACGAAGTTGCTGGGACATTTGAAATTACTTTGCTATATCCGTAATTCGTTATAACCTTATAAGAAATTCATTAAATTTATATAGCGGGGGATCCAAAATGACTTTGCTATATCCGTGAGTTCGCAATATCCGTGTTCGTACTAAACGAGTTTTACTGTATTCATCTTTTACAAACATGATGGATATTACTCATTGTGAAGTAATTCTTTGCTCAGAATTCAAAAGAGAGAGAGAGAGGGGGGAGGAATTTTATTTCTGATGAGTTAAGACTAAAAAAAGTTAAGCTTAGAAAATTACACACACACCCATCCCCCTTACCAAAAAATAATTATGGATCTACCGTGTGGATGAGTACAGTAATCTATCAATTCATGACATGAACTCGAGAAATGGAAACAAAATCTATCCATTAACTGCTTTTTACTATTTACAATACTACAAGTTTTATTTGTTTTAATTTATTTCTTAAATTTAAGCTACATGTACAAGTATAAATTAATTTTTGAGGTATAATGTTCAATTTAAAAAATGAAATGCATCATATAGGCTAATTCAAATGATAATTAAAACTGGTAACAAATGAATATCTAATAACTGCGACTATTGTTGTACGATGCTCAGGTTTTATTATTTTTGTGGGATTGCTCATGAAATGTTTCCAGTTGATCAGTTAATTACTTGTGTTATAAATTTTACGGTTGGAGTGTATTTCATATATAGAGAGATCATTTTATAGAGAGATGTTTTTTTTTAATAGCTGCTCATTATAGAAAGAAAAAAATTATATTTTCAAAGTCATAATATTAGATATTTTTGTCCTGTTATACACCATTGTCATGTTAAAAGATTTCAAATCTATGCTTTATAGCTATATCACTTAAACTTGTAACAGATATGTATTATTATTTTGTTATATAATTGTATTTTTCAAAATGGAGAATATGTTTTCTGTATATTTCTCTTTTTCTGTGCAGGATTACTGTAAATGTATTATATTTGGCATGTACAATAGCGGAAAATGATTTTTAAACAAGTTAGCGTAGATTTGATTTAGCACATTTTTTGATGTTCTTATTCAAGTATCAATGTTTAAGACATTTAGCGATGTACTTCAATTAGCGGAAGTATTTTTCCACCAAAAGCGCTTAAAAGAATACACCGCCAAATGTAATATGTTTAAAGTAATTTACACTATGTACATGCATGCATGAAATTCCATGGGAATTTTTCATGACAGTTTTAGTAAATTTAAAACATACAAAGGTCGTCCAAAAAATCAGCATAATTATCAACAAGTGCATTAAACAGATCTTAGAATTATGATACTGTGGAGAGAAAATGTTCAACTTCTTAACTTTACAGTGTGTAAATAACTCCATATTTCATTTATTTCAAATGATAAAAAAATTGTCAACAAAGGTTGGATGCAAGGACTTGATATCTGTAAAATATTCAGCTGTTATTGGTATGTGAGAAAAATCAGCAAGTATCATGAATTATTTTACTTGCAAAGATTTATATAGCTGCAAAAATTATTTTCATTTACATGTGTTTTTCTGTAAAGTGTTCCAGTAAAATTGATAGTTGTAGATGGATTCCAAATATACAAATTTCAAAGTTGTCATCAATATTATAGTTGACTTAAAATTGATCTTGCAACCATAAATTCTTTATGTAAAGGGTAATAAACCACCTATCTGTATCCCACCTTCAAAAGTGCTGAAGTGACATAAATTTTATAATCATGACTGCCACTATATATAAAATAATTGGATTAAATAACTATCACACAGACCTATTTAAGATCGACAATCTATTTTTTCCACTTTTTTAAAATAATGTGAATAACAGAATTTTTATGAAATACCATACATGTTATAATGAAAAGTTTAATTCCAACCAGATGCTTGGTAAAGCAAGTGTATAACTTCTTTGAAAATATTTTTTCTGAAGAAATGTACTTCTTCTTTCAAAATCTTTATACAATTTGACAGACTGATTATATGAGTTTGCTTATTTTGTATGTTCTAAATTGAATATTGCTCTATGTAGTCATCTGTGATATGTTAACTGGTAATTATTGCACATTTTATATAAAGCTATTTATACATCTGGAATACTTATTTTTTTTTTTGTTTTATGCAACGTACATTGTTAAATGTTAATGATTGAAGACCTTGACAAATGAGTAAAAACAAATTGAGACAAGAGACCCCTGGGCCACATTGCTCATCTGAGCATTGTCTAGATAAAAAGTAATATAATTAAAAAAGGTAGCTAACTTTTGTTAATCAGAAACCATTGTTGCTCACTTTCATCAGTTTACAATTATACATTTAAATTATTTCGCTTTTTTAAATGTTAGGAATGCTTGAATTTATTCAAATTGTGTATTACAAATGATCTAATTAAGGTATGATCACTCTAAAGGCATACATGTAGAAAAACTTGGAAAGAGGTTCCATAGGATTTTAATTCAAAAAATGTTATAAACAATTTTATAGCATTTATTGATCTCTTAAGAGGGATAAAATAGGGCAAATCAACGCATTGTTGTCCATCATGGTATTAGCTACACTGCCAGGGTATTTGCCATGGAATCCCAGGGTTGTATGAAACCATGTTTGAAAAACATGTTCGATGTCTTATATGTGACAGTTACATTTTTTACCCTGAAAAAGAAAGGTTCAGTAGCTTAATTCTAAGCAACACTTCATAAGTACTGGTGTGGCAGTTTATAATTATAGCTTTTAAGTATATAGAATGATTTTTGGATTTCTTAATGTAAAGTCGTCCCATACATGTATTTCTTCCCATCATATTTTCATATGAAATTCTGAAAATCTGACAGGTAAAGGAGGATTAACCAATTATAACAGAAAATGGTCACTCTTACAAGATTATAAATTATATTTCTACTTACAGGTTTCAGTTCGCAAATGTAATAATTTTTCTGTGCACAGTTGTCTACGTGCCAGTGGTAGTTAAAACTTTGCCAAAACAACCCACAATATTTATTTCCCTTTTCGTTATGAAGTGGCTCATGTGAAAACCAGTCAAATCGTCTGCATTCTGATGACGTCACACCCCAGAACCACCGATCTTTTTCTGGACAGACAAGCTTGTTAAGGCCCATCCAGGCACCCCTGTGTACTGCAGATTCAGATAACTAAATAATACTTTAAAAGTAAAATTGTCCTTAATTTCTTGTATTTTGCATATTTTATTAGTTCTTTTAGTCATGCCACATGTATAAAAGACTACTTATAGATAAACCTATATGTAGTATCAAAATTAAAGATATCCCTTTTTTGTTAAAAAAAACATGACCTGAATTAAAGAATAAAAATCATTCTGATTAAAACCAGATCGTTGTTAGCTCTGAAATTCTGAGAATTTCGGAGAGTAATAAAGATCTAATTTTAACCAGATTGGAATAAAAATAAGACAATTTATTTTACTTTCTTGATAATTATTTACCTTTATTTTGAATAATTTTACAAAAAGAGTTCATATCTTGACATGGATGCATGGTAGCAATGTTCATGATGTTTTGGTTACGACAATTACACATGTACTTTTTTAACATAAACCAAGAAAAAACACTGTCTCTAAAGATAATAGTAGATCTAAACGTAGATGTAAATGTACAAACCGTAAAACATCATCAAGTGGCGACGTATGAATGTATTCTCGTGTCCTTCCTCTACAGATACAAGGTCTCCATCCATACTTATACACTTCACCTACAAATATCAAACCTAATGTACAGATACAAAGTACCCATCCATACTTATACACTTCACCTACAAATATCAAACCTAACGTAGAGATATACAAGGTATCTATCCATACGTCGTATGTATACATTTCACCAACAAATATCAAAACCTTATCTACAGATACAAGGTCTGCATCTTATACACTTCACCTACAAATATCAAAACCTAAACTACAAAAATAAACAACCCTCAATTATAACATTACAATGTACCTACAAATTATGTTATACAAAGTAAAGTATTTTATCCAATCAAATGGCCAGTTACAGCAAAAATTGCTTTAAAACTATCACATTCACACGTGATATCCAAATATCAAAAAATTATCTTCAATTTGTTATTCTGCCATAGGCGTCGGAACCGAGGGGGGGGGGCTAGGGGGGCTTAACCCCTCCACTTTTTTTTCAAATATATACTTAGTATAGACATTTGATTTAAACATATTTTATTGAACACAATCAACGGGATTGGACACAAGTTTTGTCAACTTAGATTGTCCTCTCCAACACAAACAAAAATAACAAAAATATATACACGTGATGTACAAGCAACAAATAGTATAGACATTGAACATATCTTAGTAGGTTTAGCCCCCCCCCCCCCCCCCCCCCCACACACACTTTCCACAGATACGTTTTAGTATAGGTTTAAAATGGGGAAAGTGTTGGTGTTTGGAAAAAAATTTGGTACTGAAGTTCGAACCTTACCCCCACCCCACGAAATAGGATTTTCGTGTTTGGGAAATGGACGTTTCCCCCTTTTTTTTTATTGCTTGTCAGGTTTTTTTGAAGGTACAAAAATTTTTTTTTTTACACTTAGCCCCCCCCCCCCCCCCAGACTTTCAATTTGCTTCCGACGCCAATGTCTTCTCTCCTTTTAATTTGTTCTTTCTCCTTCGCCCTATAACTATAGTCCTGCTTGCTAGATACGTTATTACAGGTGACGTAAATAGACCTTAGATCACTTATATTAAAAAGTCCTATATATAGGAAACCCCGATCCTTCAACTGACGTCGGAATTTCATAAATATTATGGATGCTGTTGAAAATTACGCCAGACGATGGGTCAGTTATGAAAAAGAAGACGTTGACACCTTGTCAGAATGGATTAAATGTATCAGATCCATGTTAAAGTCGCGTATTAAAAGATTGGGGGCATTATGAAAACCACCTATCTTTCTGTGTTCAATAATCCAGAAGTGAAAAAAGAATTAGATAGAATACATGATCAGCTAGTATGTACTGGTCCCTGCCGACAAAGCAGGTAATGTTCAACATTGTCTTCGTTTGTAAGCCCCATTATATAAATTGTATTTTAGAAGAACTTGGATTTAATTCTACAAGTGTTAATCCTACTTATACTCATACTTCCCTGTCTAAGGAAGAAATCCTTCAAAATCATATGTCAGTTTTAAATATTTTTAATATTCCACAGAACCAAAATGAATTTGAACTACCATATATACCGGTATATATTGGATTCCAAAACTTCATAAAAATCCTCACAAACATACATTGCGGGTTCCAGTAAATGTTTAACCAAGCCTCTTTCGTTACTCCTCACTAAGATATTGACAGTAGTGAAGGAAAAACTTCAAGAGTAATGTGCAACAATATATTCAAGAGGAGGTGTGAATCAGATGTGGATACTCAAAAATTCCAAAGAACTTTTGAACAATTTAAAATCACATGATTTTACCAAAATCGACAGCTTAAAAGCTTTTCAACTTTATACACAACCATTCCCCACGGTATATTAAAGTCCAGGCTTTTTGATGTCATTAACAGCTGCTTTTTCAATAAAAATGGAACTGGTAAATACACTTACCTGGTCACTGGTCATTTGCAAAATTATTTTGTTAAAACACATTCTGATTGCACACACAAGTACTCTGAAGTTGACATTAAACAGATGCTTGAGTTTCAGATTGACAATATCTTTGTGGTTTTTCGAGACCAGTTATTCCAACAATCTATTGGAATTCCCATGGGTACCAATTGCTCTTCCTTATTGGCAGACCTATTTTTATATTCATATGAAGCAGAATTTGTGCAAAATTTTATGCTTGAAAAGAAGAAAACACTTGATGTAGTCTTCAACTCGACATTTAGATATATCGACGACGTATTGTCAATTAACAATGGTAATTTCTATTCCTACGTCGATACGATGTATCTTGGTGAGCTTGAAATAAAAAATACCACAGAGTCTGACACGTCTACTTCATACTTGGCTATTTTACTTGAAAAAGACGTTATTGGTAATCTAACAACCAAGCTTTATGATACATGTAAACGTAATCACTTTAACTTTTCTATTGTCAACCTCCCTTACTTATGCAGCAATATCCCTTCATCACCTGCATACGGTGTGTATATATCTGAGTTGATTCGATACGCAAGGACATGCTCTACGTGTGAACAATTTCTAAAACAAGGTAAATTATTGACAAGCAAGTTGATGAAACAAGAATATCGGCAGTATCGTTTAAAGTCTTTATTTCGTAAGTTCTATGGTCGATACAACGACCTTGTCAGCAAATACAATTTATCACTGGTCAAATGCTGACTGACACTTTTTTATACTAATTGTTAGTCCATTATTATACACTGAATTGACGACAGGTTTTTCCGTTATTTCCCGATCATGACAAGGAGCACACGGCGGGTGTGACCGATCGGCAGAGGATGCTCACTCCTCCATGGCACCTGATCCCACCTCTGATGTTTCGGAGGTCCGTGTTTGCTCTGCTCCCATATTGTATTGTTTTATGAACTTTGATATTGAATACTGTTCGTTATCTCCATATCCTTCTTCAATACAAAATCGTTTGGCGAGCGCAAATATAATTTTAAAAAGTACAATGTTCTTAGCAAAGGAGCTCAACTGGCTATAGGGATGCTCACTCCTCCATGGCATCTTATCCCACCTCTGATTGGAGGTCCGTGTTTGCTCTACTCCTATTTTCTAATGTTTAATGGAATTTTGAGTTCGATTACTTATCGTTATCTCCAAATATTCAATTATAATATAAACAAACCAATGCCCTCCACCATTCCAGTCGGTCTCTGCTAAAATAATAGCAGCTCCCTTGGTAGTGTAACCAGCCGTGGGGGCATGGTCTGTCTGTTAGTCGTGCTGACACGTGACCAAAACGCTGGAACCCATCAGATGATCGCCAGTTATAAGTCTCTATGACTGAAAATGATAGTAGATATGATGTTATTTGCAAAATCTGTGAAGTATGTTTAAGATAATGATAGCGTTTTACTTTAGAATGCTTCAAATAATATGTAAAATACATATTAATTATACACACAAAGTAAACATGTAAGTGTTCATATCTTGCATTTTTAGCCGGGCTTATTGCTCAAAGAGCAATTGCCGGCTTATGTGATCCTGTTCAAGACAGGATGTTAACCCCATAGTTGCCATTTTAAAGTTACGTATAAAAATATAGTTCTTACTCTCAACTGCTTTTGAGATAATACAAACGCTAAATAAAGCAACAAAAATAAAACGAAGATTTATCTAAATAAATAAACATATTTAGTACCTTTGAAAACTTCAGTCTTAAGTCAAAGAACATAGTTCATTGGTGTAAGGAGTTTTGATAATCATTGGTTACAGGTGTCTTAGTTCTCTACACATACGAAGAAAAGCAGGAGAGGGAACCAGACTGGCCTGTTTGTTTATTTTCAGTTGCGGTACCAGATTAATTCTGATTCTGACAAAATCGGACCGTGGTATTAGGATAGAAACTCACTGTCAATGTCCTATCATTTATATTGATAGATTTAAAATGATTTTTTTCATCAGAATTTTAAATCTGATAATGATATTCTTTTTTTTAATCTGTTAATACAATATAAACGTATGATTCATGTAAGAAATTCATAATGATTCTACTCTGTAAATGAGCCCGGCTCTCTGTACTTCTGAGTACTTTGATTATAAATACTAGTACAGTGTATTTAAGATTATTTTAAACCTTTGGTAAGGTGAAAAATAATCCAAACAAACAAAAATCTCCTCATTCTGACGATGACTTAGACCTATTGGACATTTTAGATAACAGCTGGTGCTGCACACTAATGTATTTTTAAGAGAAGAAAACCAAATCCGACGATGGTTTTCTATTTAAGAAATACCGTTAATCGCCATATTGAATATTATGGATATAAACTTATATTAAGGGGACCATCTGCAGTAAATATACATGTTAAAGCTACTTGAAAGAAAGATGATAATAGATGCGATTCAAATAAAGATTTTCAGTAGGGTGTTGATTTTGAAATTTCATGATTAAGCCCATTATTTTAAATTTGAATGAATCAAAATTCTAAATTTCAATAAATCTTAAACCTGTTGAAAATTGAAATTTAAAAGTTTGAATTAATTTTAAAATATCAAAAAATGGTTCTGAACTTTAGATTTTTAAGCATAAACGTTTTGAAAAAAAAAACTTAAAAAGTTTAAAATCCAAAAATCACTTTTTTGAAATTTGAATTTTGAACATTTAATGTAAAAATCTAAAGGATCAAAATTTTAAAACCCGTTTTGAAATTTGAAAATTCACATTTTTGAACAGAAATTAAATTTCAATATACCAAATCAGTTTGAGTCTTGAAATTTAGAAATTGGAACTAATATATTAACATTTTAAATATCAAAATCATTTTAGAAATGAACTGTTAAGTGTTACACAGACCTCCTTGTAAATTTTCAAATTTCATAACAGATTTAAAAATTATAATATTCAACATTTAAAATTACCTTAAATGTTTAAAATTCACATTTCCAAAAACGATTTTTGCATTTTAATTTTTTTTAATCTACCGTTTGTTCAGAAAGTTTATATGGAAGGGAATTACCGCCAAAAGTCTATGTATCTTGCTTTTATTCTTATTCTGCCTACTTCTTTATGCTTTGTTGTTATTGTAATTATATGTCACTTAATTGTTTTCATATTCGTCTTTATTACATTTCACTTTGACTTTTATCATTCTTCATTTTGTCTTTACTTCTATGTTGCTTTATTCTTGTAAATTCATTCTACTTTCTTTTAAACTTAAACAGTTTCTTTCATAAATTATTAGCATTATCTCTAATGTTAATTCAATCACGCTAACAGTGGAGCATATTCAATGAAGACGAATGGAAGTTGTCAAACCGTCAAAATTTAGTGCGGCATTATAACGCTAGGTGGCGTGGTGTTCGCTACGAGAGTTGGTAAAACTAGCTAGGTAAGCAAAGGTCGGGTTATTTGAGATTCTTCAATACGCCTTAATACTTTATCAATCGAACTTCTGAAGGCCGGATCCGATCTCCCGATCCAATGATGGAAACTCCATATTTATTTTCTCTGGGCACACAGGAAAAGTGGCTTCTTTTTTTCAGCTACCTTCATTTAAGGAGGCTGGGGGGTCAACAAATTAACCATAAATCAACCACCAGATTTAACTTATTTTTTTAGATACGGTATCTTAATCTGTCAACTATCATTTGGCAAAGAAAAAATTCATACATTTTAGTTTTAAAATTTTATCATTTTTGTATATCTTTATATGGAGCTCTTCTTTTAAAGGAGATCAAAATAGTCTGAAAATGGCTGCCACACCCCAGCCTCGCTAAAGGCCGACCCACTTTTTGTAAGAGTAAGGGTCAAATAAGTAAATGTAGTACGTATAGTTGGAAGAAAATTTAAATTTGTTTCTATAGAAGAATTTGAATCTAACTCAAAACCCATCCCGCCCCCGAAATAGGAATTCATTGGCGTCGGAAGCTAATTGAAAGTTGGGGGGGGGGGGGGGGGGGGGGGGGGGGGTAAGTGTAAGAATTTTTTTTAGACCTTCAAAAAAAAAAACCTGACAAGCAAAAAAAAAAAACATGTCCATTTTCCAAACACAAAAATCCTATTTCGCGAGGAGGGGGGGGGGAGGGGGTTGAAGGTTCAAACTCCAGTGCCAAAGTTTTTTTTTTCCAAATACCACCACTTTCCCCATTTTAAACCTTTACTGCATCGTGTCCATGGAAAGTGGGGGGGGGGAGGACTAAACCTACGCAGGGATGTTCAATGTCTATACTAAGTCTATCTTTGGAAAGAAATGGGGGCTAAGCCCCCCCCCTCCCCGGTTCCGACGCCTATGTATTTTCAAGTTTGGACAATTTCCTGGGGTTTATTTTGCGCATGTCAAGTTGTTTTCAGCCGGTAGCTTGAATATTTATTCTCTTGTTGCCCCCCTCCCCACTTTCAAAAACGATGTTACGTCACTGTTCTCTCGCCTGAAATATATAACTCGACTAAAGTTATTTGTTGGATATTTGAATTACAGTTTAATTGTTGTAAAAATGTTAAATATTGTGATACTAGTTAACCCTTATAAATTGGGTTGTTTTTCAGAACCTTCCACTGAACTGAACTTTATTTCACGACAGATAGTAACTGCTGATGCGCGTGATTCTAGGGACAGGGCTTTGCAAAGGAGTGAGGAGCGTTATGGGTAGGCAGGCGCGGATCCAGAATTTTTTCCAGGGGGGGGGGGGGCAACCAAGTAAAAAAAAATCCAATCCCAGAAATTTCTTGACAAGCATAATAGGAAGAAAAAACCTAAACTCGCTCAAACGTCAAAATTCTATTTCGTGTGTGTGTGTGTGGGGGGGGTGGGGGGGTTAACTTTTTTTCTTTGTTTTAGTAACCTTGTTAATTCCAGGGGGTTATACCCCCCCTCTAGATCCGCGCATGGAAGGCGAAGTCTGAACCAGACTACATGCACCCAGGCATACTAGAAACACCCTGGTCTTTTTTCTGCGTTAATATTTTATATTAAAATTGCACTTTTCAATAAAGAAAGAAATATCTTTAGTACGCACCGTGTTTGTCATCAACCAGGAGAGCTAAAAAAAATCTTAAAACTCGAAAATTCTATTTGGTGGTGGTGAAGGGGGGGGGGGGGTTGACTTTTTTTCAGTAATACATTTTACTCATATGCCACTAATTACATGACTTTTAATATATAAATTGACTATTAGTACTGCAACAAAAAGTGTAAGGGATAAGGGATGGGGGCAACAAGCCTTTCGCTGAACTTTTCCAGTGGTAAAAAGTTACGTTTAGGAAAATGTTTCGTGGCCACCCTCCCCTCTACCGATGAAACTTACCCCATAGGGGGTCGTCCACCCGGAAGTCAGTATATATATTGAGACTTTGGTGATTGTACATTGTATAATTTCCTTTTCGAGAATTTTTCACTCAAATGGAGAAGCCACCTCTTGCCGGTGGAGAGCTGCAAATTTGTCCTATATACTCGGCACTTATAGCCATTGAGCAGTGAGGGATCTGCTGCGACACGGGACCTCGGATAATACGGTCTAGATCTCATCCGAAGGACCGAACTCCACATCCTATAGTGGGATTGGAACCCACAACGTACTGGTCGACTCCTTACTACTGTACTTCGTGACTCTGTATAGAGCAGACGCCGTAACCACAGTGCAACGCGGGCGACTGCAACAAGGGGGGGGGGGAGAAAGAGTCATTATCCATATGTACTCGTGAAGATTATCTATGTTTAACTAAATGGTTAAAATGATTTAATTACTAAAACAATATTGAAACAATTTTAAAATGATATTATTTAAATATTTATTCATATAGAACCAGGGACCTATATACTAGAACAGATAAATTTTCTTCAAAAACTGAAAACGTTAGTATATATAAACATTGTTTTACGATTTGTTTTACGATTTAAAAAAAGCTATTCGGGGGAGGGGTTGCTAGGAATGGGGGCGAATTGCTATATATAGCGAGATTTCCCACGGAAGACTAGCTATATATTGAAACTTTCCCGGGGGGAGTCCCACTGTATAGTCTTCCGAAGGAAGCATCACTATGTAGTCAGTCTTCCAGGGGAAATCTTACCATCTAGCGAGACTTCCGAGGGAATGGCATGTATCGGGTACATACCTGGACTTATAACAAACATCGGTCTTTAAAAAATTTAAGCTTGATTAATAAAGTATTAAGGCAGAAAATTGAAAAATCTCGAATAACCCCGGCACGGGTTTGCTTACCTAATTTTACCAACACTCTTAGCGAACACCCCTGCCACCTAGCGTTATAATGCGGCACTAAATTCGGACAACTTGTATTCGTCTTCATTGAATATGCTTCATTGTTTGCGTGACTGAG